ATGTGCGTGTGTGAGTGTGTCTGTGTGTTATAGTAAGTGTATAAGTGGAGAGTGAGGAGTGTGTGTGTGTGTTTGTTTTTCGGGCTTTATTTCAGGATTTATTCAGTAACATGACAGTTCAAAGTATACAAAAATAGAAACACAGGATCCATTCACTCCAGGGCTCATGAGTCATTCCTCTCTTTCAGTTTCACTCATCCATTCAATTCCTGTGTTCTCTACCCCGGGTCATCCCCATCCGCATGACTTTCACACCCCACCCAGGCACACACAAAGAAAATCTCACTCATTCCCTTGCACCCTGCGAACCATGGACAATAATATAGGCAAACACTGCCTTAGCCACATTCCTGTCGTTCGTGAGCTGTGGACCAGGCCGGAAATCTTGACAATCGCCCTAGAGAGATAGAATCTAGATCTAGAATCTAGGGCGATTGTCAAGATTTCCGCGTTTAATTCCGATGTGCGCTTTTCAAAGCCTAAGACCTAAGGTATGTTTCGCTTTGGTGCATTTGGACTTGGAGTTAGGGTTAGGGTTAGGAGGGTCAGGGTTAGGGTTAGGGTTAGGGTTGAAGAGTTAGGGTCAGGGTTAGGGTTAGGGACCAAAGCGAAACATACCTTAGGCTTTGAAAAGCGCACATCGGAATTAAACGCGGAAATTTTGACAATCGCCGAATCTAGATCTAGATTCTAGATCTAGATTAGATCTAGAATCTAGATCTCTAGATTTATCATAATTTATGTCTCAAGTCTCAAAGGCTTAGATTAGGTTAGGCCTTGCCTTGCCTTAGCCTGCTTAGGAATTCATGATTTTTCCCCAGTTTTTAATTAATATGATCTCTCAATGGAGAATTTCGGACCGGTAGATCTATTCATTAAAATTTTGTCAGGGTGGGAACTACCGAAAAAGCACCGACCTCTCTCTCTCTCTCTCTCTTTCTCACACACACACACACGACACACACACACAAACACACTACCGGGTCTGGGCGCTGAAACTTTCCGAAATCACTAAATTTAAAGAGTTCTCCAACTGGGTCTGTATACTTCGTGACTTTGTTCCCGGTTACCGGGTCTGTATACACTTCGATTCTTCAATCTTCCCTCTAATAGAGAATCTAGATCTAGATTCTACGGCGCTCTTTGGAAATTGCCTTCTCATTCCATTGAATTACGAAATGTTGAAACTGATAATTAGGCTAGATCATCTAGATCTAGATATTTAGATCTAGATTTAGATCTTGATGTCAATTAGATCTAGTTAAATCCATGTAAACTGTAAACATGAAGATAGATCTAGTCTAGATCTAGTGGGTTTTTTTTAACGAGATACTAATCTAGTATTCAAGGCAAAGTCAGTCCGCTGGTCCGGTATTCTTCGATCTTACCTCTATATCTATAGAGTCTAGATCTAGATCTATAATATTTAGATCTAGATTTCGTTGCTTGCCCTCACCTTTGAGACAAACCACTCTACCTTCAACTTCAAGATTCATTCATTTGCCACTCTTGTTGTAGACTAGGCCTATTGTTTTCCATACCAAACCGACCAGGTCACGTGATCAAACATTTCGGAAATCCGGTGTACTCTAAATATTTCTCCCACAGAGAAAAAAATATTCATCCGGTTTTATTTTACTAAACGGATTTACCTTCCTTAAAAGTTATTAGCCTTTATTATGTATTATAGAGAGTTGAATCAAAATTATTCCTCGTCGCAGTTATAGATCTGTTAGTTGAGATGAAATTTGAGAGGCAAACCGCGAATAGTTTCTCTCGGCTAAACAGTGCACAGAAAAAGTCCTCGCAAGCTGTTACAACTTTCACTTTCAAGGCAAGACAATGGAAATCGACAAAGTCAAATTAAAAGTGAATGTCTGTTTTATAAAAATCTGTGGCCGCGCGCGTGCTCTCTCTCTCTCTCTCTCTCTCTCTCTCTCTCTCTCTC